AACCAGTAGATAGATATAATGCTATAACATAATACATAATTACATATGTATTATAATATATAATACATAATTATCTTCTTATCACAGTCACACTTATCATTACTTTTTTACCATTCCTATCAACACCATTATCGTCATTATGCCTATTACCATTCCCTATTATCATTCTCCTATTATTTTCCCCATGAAAAAAGGCATTAACTCCCTTTTATACTTTCCAACACACTACCTGCTTTTGTTTTTACTTTTCTTTTCTTTTATAATCATTTAAAAGAATATGTTTATTTCTTGTCTTCGCCTGAGCAGCCATTAAGGGTGATTTTCTTTTGTTGGAAGTGGTGTTTCTAGCCTCTGTCTTTAAATATTTTTAAGGATGATATATTTTTTTGTTTTTTTTTTGTTTTTTATGTTTTTTTCTAGTGTCGCTATTGCTTCTTTGTTTATTGTTGTTGTACCTTTTTTATTTTTTTGTTTGTATTTATGTTTATTATCTTTTTTTTTTTTTGTTATCGGTTTCTATCTAAAAAAAAAATCTACAGAATTCGTCGGAGGGAAAAGAAAAATTTAATTGTTGATTTTAGATAGAGAGAGAGAGAGAGAGAGAGAGAGAGAGAGAGAGAGAGAGAGAGAGAAGAGAGAGAGAGAGAGAAAGAAAGAAAGAGAAGAGAGAGAACAGACAGAAAGACAGAAAAAAATAATAAAAAGAAGACAGACCCACACTCCGCCTCCCTCACAGTAGACGCAGAAGGAGGAGGAGGAGAACCACATGGAAATGAGAGTAATGAAGGATTGTAGGAGGCGGGGAAATGAGGGGTTGAGGGTGTTAGTATTCCCCCTCCCCCCCCTTCCCCTCATCCTTCTTTTTTTCCTTCTTCTTCTTCTTTTTCTTCTTCTCCTTCCACTTCTTCTACTTCTCATCGTCTCCTTCTCCTTCTCCTCCACCTTCCTCCTCTCCTTCCTCCCCACCCTCCTCCTCCTCCCCCTCCTTCTCCCCTCCTCCCTCCCTCCCCTCCCCCCTCCCTCCCCTCACCCCCTTCCTCCCCTCCCTCTCCCTCCCTCCCCTCCTCCTCCCCTTCCTCTCTCGTCGCCCCCATCCCCCCCCCCCCACAAGCGAGAAAAGGAAAAGAAGTTGATGGCAAAAGTTGCAGCGCGGGCAGAGACAAGCGCCGTGTCATTTCAACACATTAGGTCTTTCTCATTGTCGTCGTTAATTTGCTCCCTGCAGAAGGAAGGAGGGAGGAGGAAGGAGGAGGAAGGAGGAAGGAGAGGAGAAGGAGGGAGGAGGGAGAGGGGAGGAGGGAGGAGGGAGGAGGGGAGTAGGAGGGAGGAGGAGGAAAGAGGGAGGAGAGGAGAGGAGAGGAGAAGGAGAGGAGGAAGGGGTAGGAGAAGGAGGGAGTAGGAGGAGGAGGAGAAGGAGTAAGAGGAGGGAGTAGGAGGAGGAGGAGGAGGAGGAGAAGCCTCTGTTGTCAAGATGCGAAGCTATTTGCAAGTTGCAGGATGGGTTCGAACGCCTCCTTTGGCCTCCAGGTCCTCTCACCTTCCAATCATTTAGTTTTCTTCTCTCTTCTGCTTTTTATTTCCTTTTTCTCTTCCTTTCTTCGTTTTCTCTTCTCCCTTCTCCTTCATTCTTTTCTGTCTCTCTCTTCTTCTTCTTCTTCCTTCTCCCCTCTCCTTTCTTCTTCAAACTTCTTTTTATCCCTCGATTCCTCTTCCCTTCTTTCTCTCTCTACATCCCTCCTCATTTTTCTTTATCTCTCTCTCTCTCTCCCTCTTCTCTCCTTCCACCTCTCTCTCTCCCTCTCCCTCCTTCCACCTCCTTCCCCTCTCCCCTTCTCCTTTCAACCTCTTTCTCCCTCTTCTCTCCTTCCACCTCTCTCTTCCTCCTCCCCCTCCTCCTCTCCCTCTCCCTCTCCCCTCCCCTCTCTCCCTCTCCCCTCCTTCCTCCTCCCTCTCCCTCTCCCCTTCTCCTCTCTTCTAAAAAGCAAGCAAAACTTGTCCGATAATTTGCAAGAAACCAAATAACTCCATCTTTGTCCTCCCCGACGTCTTCCTAGTTGCTTCCTTCGGCCACCAGAGGGCAGTGGCGGCGGGGGACGAAGGTGGATCCGACACTTTTAATGTATTTCGGTTTTTATTTTTATTTATTTATTTATTTATTTATTATGTTTTCATTTGGCTTCTTTTTTTACCGTTTGGTCTTGATTATTATTGTTATTTTTCTGATTATGTTTGTTATTGTTGTTATCTTTCTTTTATTATTGTTATTGCTATTGTATTTATTGCCATTACTATTGCTATTACTTTTATTATTACTGTTACTATTATTGTTATCGTTCACCCTCCCCCCACCTCGTCGTCCCCCAACACCCCGCGCGATTTCAAACGCTACGACCAAACGCGCCGAGACAAAAACCAAAAGAAAAACTAAAAAATTGATAACGAATCCCCTTAGCAATACACAGGAGGTTTTCTTCGTTATCGGTTCCGTGTTTTTTTTTTTTTTGTTTTTTTGTAATTGGTTAGTTCAAAGGCGTTGTGATTCGTTGCGTGGGCGTGCGTGGGCGTGGAGAAATGGGCGTTCTTTTTGGGGCACGGGCGGCGGGATGGGCGGCGAGTGACGGAAAGCGCTGGCAGAGTTTTGTGTTTTAATTCGAGGTGTTTTTAATTATCATCTTATAATGCGTCGTATGTATATTTGACAACAGACACATCCGGGAATCCATAAAAATACCCATCCATTTTTTTTCAAATTAACCTTATTGAAAAATACCCGGTTTTAAATACCCCACATGAAAAAAAAATGATAATAACACCCACCTACCGATTTTTAAAAAAAACTAACATCCACACACACTGAGAAATAAATGAATAAATAAACCTACGTATAATAATATATAATAAAGATAATAGATAAATGAAATAAGATAACATGCTCCACACACGCAAAAATAGATAAATAAATAAACTTATATATGATCATAGATAAAAATTATAATATTAATAGATACGTAAAATAATCTAAATATATCTCTCTACCAATATCTATTTATCTATCTGTCCTTCTCTCTCTTTCTGTTTCTCTATCAATATCTTTTTCTATCTATCTATCCTTCTCTCTCTTTCTGTATCTCTATCAATCTCTCTCTCTATCTATCTATCCTCCTCTCTCTTTCTGTTTCTCTCTCTATCAATATCTCTCTCTATCTATCTATCCTTCTCTCTCTTTCTGTCTCTCTATCAATATCTGTTTCTATCTATCTATCCTCCTCTCACTTTCTGTTTCCCTCTCTATATCAATATCGCTCTCTCTCTCTCTCTCTATCTCTATCTATCTATCTCTCTATCTCTCTCTCTATCTATCTACGTACCTCCCCATAAATCGCACCCACTAACGCCCCTTTCCCCTCTCTCCCCTCGACCCACAGGCGCTTCGGAACCAAGTGCTCGGGCTGCCTGCAGGGCATCTCCCCGCAGGACCTGGTGCGGAAGGCCCGAGACCGCGTCTTCCACCTCAAGTGCTTCACGTGCTGCGTCTGCCGCAAGCAACTGTCCACCGGCGAGGAGCTGTACGTGCTTGAGGAAAACAAATTCGTTTGCAAACAAGACTACATGAGCGGGAAACTGACAGGTGAGGAGAGTTTGGCTACCGGTTTTAGTTAAAGGGGTTCTTGCGACAGGAATATGGCGGCGGGTGGGTATTTATTTTCCAGAGGAAGGGGGACGGGGTTTTGTAATTTTTAAGTGTGTGAAATTTTTAGGTGTGGGTCTAAGTGGCTGGGGGAGATTATGCACTTTTTTTTACGCCGCTTGATTTACGGCGGGATAATTCTTAGCCGGAAAGATATCATTATCTGGGGCATATATTATCTTCAGTAAGAGGGAGAGAGGATCGGCGCGTGTGACATATTTACCGGAGAATTGAAATTTTCCGGCGGGAAGCCTTGTTTGGAGAGAAAATAGGAGAAAAGGATTTTTTATAGAAGGAAGTGTTTAAAGAAAAACAGAATAAAACGTAAATCAAAGAAAAGAAAATAGGAGTAATATAAGAAGAAAAGAGAGAGTAAAAATAAAGAACAAAACGTAAATCAAAGAAACTTTTTAAAAAGAAAACAGAGAAAGAAAAACAAAACAAAACCGTAAATCAAAGAAAAAAAAAAAATAAAATAAAAAGAAAACAGAGAGAGAAAAAAGTAAAAAAGAAAAACGGAATTCCCGATTAAAATTTTTTTCCCGCCTTTTTTTTCCCGCCAAAAGTCGACCCCTACGTCATGTCCGACGACGAGGAAGAAATCGAATCCATGGACACAGGCGACACTTCACTCACTTCTCCGGGCTCCGACAACACCACACTTCACGCCCCCAACACGCCCGCGACCCCCGCCACGCCCTCAGCGCCGCCCACCACAGATCTCGAGAAGGCATCGAGTGTGAATTCGCGAGACGAAGCCGAAGACGAAGACGAGGTGCTCGAGGGCGAGAATAAGGACGACGACAGACGGGTGAGTCGCGCAGCCGCCATCTTGGATTTGTTTCTTCGAGGTTGTGAATTTATATTAATTAAGCCTCGATTTTTGTTGTGATTCTCCTGTACTTCTTCAAGGTTGTGAATTTATATCAATTAAATTATGATTTTTGTTGTGATTCTCCTGTGCTTCTTTAAGGTTGTGAATTTATATTAATTAAGCCTCGATTTTTGTTGTGATTCTCCTGTGCTTCTTCGAGGTTGTGAATTTATATTAATTAAGCTTTAATTTTTGTTGTAATTCTCTTGTACTTCTTCAAGGTTGTGAATTTATATTGGTTAAGCTATGTTGTGATTTTCCTGTGGTTCAATCATGGTTATTATGTTATTATTACCGTTAGCATGATGATTATTATCAACAATCCCCACCTCTCCCTTCCCCCACCCTTATCCCTACCCCAACCACCCCTTTACCCACCCCCACCCCACCTCCTTCACCCCTCACAACCCCTTACCTCCATTCCTACCTGCAATTCCTCCACCCACCATCCCCACCCCTTCCACCTCCTTCACCCCCAACCTTTACCCCACCACCTCCTTCACCCCAACCCCCTACAACCTCCTTCACCCCACCCCCACCCCCCACAACCTCCTCCCCCCTTACCTCCTCCACCCCCCCCCTCCCACCACCTCCTTCACCCCACCCCCTACCACCTCCTCCACCCTTACCCCACTCCCTCAACCCCCTCCCCACCCCCTACCATCCCCTCCCCACCCCCTACAACCTCCTCCCTCCCCAACCCCCCTCCCCCACCAAAATACCACACTAAAACCACCCCCTTTCTCTCCCCTCTCTTTTTCTCCCCCCCTCCCTCCCCCCTGCCCTCCAACAGTCCGGCGAGGAGGAGAAGGGCGCCAACAAGCGACGAGGACCTCGCACGACCATCAAAGCCAAGCAACTGGAGATCCTCAAGAACGCCTTCAACAAGACACCGAAACCGACGCGACGCGTCACATCGGGAACAGCTGGCCAAGGAGACGGGGTTGCCAATGCGTGTTATACAGGTAAGGTGGCTTGGAATTTTTTTCGGAATTTTGGTTTTGGGGGGTTTTTTTTGATTTTTTTGGATTTTTTTTTTGATAGATGTGTTTTCTGATGAAGATTTGGGTTGGGTTTTTCTCTTTTTTTTTTATTTATTTATTTTTTTTAATACATGATTTCTCTTTTTTTGGATTTTGGATTGGGTTTTCTCTCTTTTTTTGATACATGTATTTCTGACGAAGATATGATCGAAACCGGTTAAATACATCTATTGTATTGTGAAGATTCGTCTCATTCATACCTTTCCACTTTTTTTTTTGGGGGGTGGGGGTGGGGGTGGGGGGGGGTAAGAAGACTTGATTTTTCGGATTTGGATTGGGTTGTTCTCTTTTTATTGGGGGGGGTGGGTTGTGTGGGGGGGGGGGGGGGGTAGAGGTAGAGGTCGTTGATTTTTGTATTTGTTTTATTATTGTTGTTATCATTGATTATTATTTTTTATTTTCATTTAGGGAAATAAGATGGTTGTATTTTGTTGTTAGATTAAGTTGTATATATATATATATATATACGTATATACACTGCTGTTGATTTTTTTTTGGTTCGTATCATCATTATTATTACATTTAGAATTCTCTTTGTATTACAATTATTACGTTTTTTCCCTATTATGTAATTCCATTCCCTCTTCTATTCTCGATTTTTTTTTTTTTTTTTGGGGGGGGGAGGGGGAGACTTAAAAGAATTCCTTCTTGCTTAATCGCCAATTAAGATTTAACCAGTTAATTGGAACTAAATTTTAATGGTTTCTCTCCCGATGCAGTTACGACAATATTTATAAATCTTGCCTTTTAAAAAAAATATATATCTTATATTTCCCTTGATTTCATTCCTTTCTCATAATTAGCATAAAAATATCTTTTTATATTTAGTTGATTATATTTCTTTTCCTATTTGACAGAAAAATATTTTTTTTATATTTCAGTCTATTTTCATTTCTTTTCCTATTTGCCAGAAAAATATTTCTTATATATTTCACTTTATTTCATTTCTTTCTTTTTCATGTTCTCAATTTTAGCAGAAAAATATCTTATATTTCAGTCTATTTTTATTTCTTTTCATATTTGGCAGAAAAATATTTCTTATATATTTCACTTTATTACATTCCTTTCTTTCTCATATTAGCATAAAAATATCTCTCTTATATTTCATTTGACTATTTCTTATCCTATAATAATATATGTAATATATTATTATTATTATTAATTATTATTATTATATATTATTATTATTAATATATTAAATGTAATAGGGCAAGCTATAAAGAAAAATTGTTGATTCACTCAACATGCAAACCAATCAAGACACTTTCTTTCTCGCTCTAAATATATATATATCGGTAAATCAGTCACACTATTTTTTTTTCTTTTTTTTTTTTTGACCCATATCTGTGTCTTCTTTTTTTTTTTTTCCTTGATTTAATTCCCTTTTTATTTACCTTCGAAACACGACCGTGAAATGCCGGCTTCATGCTTTCCTTCACGGCCTCCTGCTCGCGGCTATGATACACGTACAGGGGGAGAGGAAGGGAGAGAGGGAGAGAGGGAGAGGGAAAGGGAGACGGAGGGAGGAGGAGAGAGAGAGAGGAAGGGAGACGGAGGGAGAAAGGGAGAGAGGGAGGGAGAGAGAAGAGAGAGAGAGAGAGAGAGAGAGGGGAGAGAGAGAGAGAGAGAGAGAGAGGGAGAGAGGAGAGGGAGGGAGAGGGGAGAGAGAGAGAGCGGAAGGAGAGGAAGGGAGGGGAAAGAGAAAGGGAAGAGGGAGGGAGGGAGGGAGAGAGATAGGGTTAGGAGAGGGAGGGAGGGAAGGAGGGAAAGAGAGAGGGTGGGGGAGAAGGAAATGGGAGAGGGAAGAAGGGAAAGGGGAGAGAGAGAGAGAGACAGGAGAAGGAAGAGAGAGAGAACGTCCGAAAGACGAGACGAAAACAAACGAGAAAAGATCTCTCTCTCTCCCTCTCTCTCCCTCTTTCCTCCTAATGAAGTGATAGAGAAGTATGTAGTGTGACAGAGAGGGGGAAGGGATAGGGGGGGGGCGACTTGTCACGCTATTCTCGAAGTCAAAGTGGCGTGACAGACGAGCAGCCGACGACAGCTGGTGACAGAGTGACAGCTGGCGACACCGATGGGCAAGGGCGGGGAAGATAGATAAACAGGTAGATAGATAGATAGGTATACAGGTAGATGGCGAAACAAGGGACAGGATAGATAGGTGGATGGAAAGAGAGAGAGAGAGAAAGAGAGGGAGGGAGGGAGGGAGAGGAGAGAGAGAGAGAGAGAGAGAGAGAGAGAGAGAGAGAGAGAGAGAGAGAGAGAGAGAGAGAGAGAGAGAGAGAGAGAGACAGACAGACAGAGACAGAGAGAGAGAGAAGAAAGAGAAATAATAAAATGAAAGAGAGAGAAATTCAGATAAAAGACAGAAAAGAAGAAGAAGAAAGAAAAGACAGACACAGACATAAGAACCAGAGCCAAAGATAGACACAAACGCCCCCGAAACAGACACACAGACAGACAAAAGTAAAACACCGAATTAATAAGACGAAACGAACCGAAACAACTTTTGGGAAGAGGGCTAAAAAACTACCCCCCCCCCCTCCTCCCTCCCCCTCCCTCCCCCTTCATGTGGGGAAAAAAAGTAATTAAAAAAAAGGAAGGAAAAAAGTTAAATCAAAGACACACCGCAAGAGATACTTGGGGTGGGGGGGGGGGGAGGGGGGGAGTGAGGCTCCATCCTGGCGCTCTTTCTCTTTCTCTCTTTCTCTGTCTTTCTCTCTCTCTTTCTTTCTTTCTTTTCTCTGTTCTCCCCCTCTTTCTTTCTCTTTCTCTCTTTTATCTTTTACTTCTTTTTCTTTTTTTTTCTGTCTCTTCCTCATATTTATCCTCCTCCTTTCCTCCCCCCCCCCTTCTCTCTCCTCTTTCTCTCTCGTTCTCTTTCCTCCCTCCTCCTCCTCCTCCCTCCCTCCTCTTCCTCCTCTTTCCCCCCTCCTCCTCCTCCCTTCTTCCTCTTCTTCCTCCTCCCTCCCTTTCTCTCCCCCAACCCCCGCATACCACAATCAGCGTCGGAATCCAAGCCGCGCGGCCCGCCAGCCCCCGCCCGCTCGAGATGGTGTTACACCGCAAACTAAGATAGCCTCCCCGTGATTCCCGCGATAGCTAGCGCGCTCTGCTAACAATTAGCGCTCTCCGCTAACGAGGGAGTACTGAGGGGGTAATCGGGTTGTCTCTCTCCTCGGCCTGCTCGTCTCGTCTCTCTCTCTATCTTCTCTCTATCTATCTATATATATTCCTCTTTCTCTCTCTTTTCTCTCTTCTTTCTATTCTTTCGCTAAATGGATCTATTTAGCGACGCGCGTTCTTCCGCCTTTTCGGACTATTTCGAGAGTAGCGCGCGTCGCTAACATTCAGCGCTTTCCCGCTAACTAGACCAAGATGGCGCTCGCCGTCTGCTCTCTCTCGATGTCGTCGCTTTTGTCTCGCGTTTTCTCCTCCCCGGCGCGGTTTTTCTCGGCACGCCCGTTGTCGCCCGGTCGCCGCCCGTGCCGCCCGTCAGAGCCACTTACCGAAATAGTCTCGTTTTAAAGCGATCAAGTGAAAATTTGTCCCAGTGCGGCAGATGTTGCTCGCCATGTTTTCCCGGCTCGTTTAGCGGGAATGAAGTAGCGGTTTTTTGCTCCCATTAACAAGGAGGGGAGAGACGGGTACGGTTGTGCGTGTCTCCTCTCTCTCTCTCTTCCCCTCTTCTCCTCTCGGTGTCCCTCCCTCTTCTCTCTTCTTTCTCTCGTCTTTCGTCTCTCTCTCTTCTCTCTCCCTTCTCTCTCTCCCTCTCTCTCTCTTCTCTCTCCCCTTTCTCCCCTCGTGTCCTTCCCTCTTCTCTCCTCTCTCTCCCTTCTCTCTCTTCTTTCTCCTTCTCTTCTCTCTCCCCTCTCTTCCTCTCTCTTCCCCTCTTTTCTTCTCTCTTTCCCTTTTCTCTCTCTTTTTCTCCTTCTTTCTCTCTTCTTCCTCCTTCTCTCTCTCTTCCCCTCTTCTTCTCTCTTTTCTTTCTCTCCTTTTTCTCTCTTCTTTCTCTCCATTTCTCCTCTCTCCTCTCTCCTCTCTTTCCCCCTCTCTTCCTCTCTCTTCTCTCCTCTCTCTCTTCTTCTTCCTTTTATGGCGGGGGGAGATAACGAGATTGGGAAGAAAGAGGAGGAGGGAGAAAAAAAAGATTATTTTGTGCTAGAAGAAAGAGAAAGAGAAAGAAGAAAAAGGTTTATTTTGAGTTATATTTTTCCCCCTTCCAATTATTCTTCGTTTTCCATTTTTCTTATTTCGTAATCCTTCCACTTTTGCATTTTCCTTCTTCCCTTTTTCTCTCTTCTTTCTCGTTCTTTTACATTCTCTCCTTCTTTACCATTTTTCCTATTATTTCTTTTCTCTAATTATCTCACCTCCTATCTTCGTTGTTTTCTCACATTCTCTCCTTCTTTACCACTTTTTATATTATTTCTTTTCTTTAATCATCTCACCTCCTATCTTCGTTGTTGGTTTTTCCCATTTTTTAATCTTCTCTTTCGCTCTCCTCTCTCTTCTTCTTTTATTTTCTTAATTTTATTGCTTTTCCGCAAAATTCTCTTTTATTGGGCGCGACGTGCCAAATCTAACCGTGGAGTTGCTATGACATTTATTTTATTTTGAATTTGTTAAATTTTAATTATATTTTCTTCTTTTGTTTGTTTTTGTTTTATTTTACTTTTTTTTTTCTTGTGTTGATTTTGTTTTTGTTTTTTTATGTCTTTCATTGTCATTTTTCTTTCTTTTTCTTTCTTTCACCTTCTATCTTCTTCCTTTTCTGTTCTCTCTTACCTTCTTTATCCCTTCCCCTCTTTACCCTGTTTTCCTTCTTCCCCTTTCTCTTTCCTCTTTCTTGACCGCGTCTCCCCCTCCTTTTCTTCTCTCCCTCTCCTACATTCCCTCTCCTTCCCTCTTCTGCCGTCTTCCCCTTCCTCTCTTCTCCTTTTTTCACCCCTTCCCCTCTCTCCCCTCTTTTCCCTTTATTTCACCCCTCCTCCCAATCCAACCCCTCTTTTCCTCCCATCCACCTAACCCCTCCTCCCCTCCTTCCTTCCCTCCCCCCCACCCCCATCCCTCCCCTCCCCTCCCATCCCTCCCAACCCCTCCCTCCTCCCTTCCCTCCCTTCCCTCCCTCAACCCCCTCACCCCCATCCCTCCCCCGATCTTGCAAGCGCACCAATCCCCTCATCAAACTGCGAAAGCTCATCCCTTTGCTCACCGGCCATCTGTTGCAGCGCCGAGCCATGTTGACCGCCCAGACTTGCAACACGGATGGTGGTAGACTATTAATCAATTAGGAATCTTGCAAAGGATAGCGGTATTCGATGGAGATGGGGGGTGGGGGTGGGGGGGTGGAGGGGGAGGGGTGAGGGAGGGGTTGAGTGCCAGAGAGAGAGAGAGAGAGAGAGATGGTGTGGAGGGAGGGAGGGTGAGGGGTGAGGAGGGG